AGTGTGGAACGCCAAGCTTGACGCCACGCTGGATGAGCTTGGGTTCCAGCGGTGCGTAACCGAGTACGCGCTCTACACACGGCGACGGGGGGAGAAGGAGCTCGTTGTCGGCGTGTATGTGGATGACTTGATCGTCACCGGCACGCGTGCGGAGGACATCGGCAGCTTCAAGCACGAGATGGTGGCTCATTTTCGAATGAGCGATCTTGACGCACTCTCCTACTACCTCGGCATCGAGGTGAGACAGGGGAAGGAGGAACTCACGCTCGGTCAGAGCGCGTATGCCTCGAAACTGTTGGAGCAGAGCGGCATGACTGAGTGCAAGTCATGCGTGACTCCGATGGAGGAGCGGCTGAAGCTGACGAAGGCATGTACCGTGGCGAAGGTAGATGCAACACTCTACCGGAGCATCGTCGGTGGTCTGCGCTACCTAGTCCACACGAGGCCGGACATTATGTTCGTCGTGGGCTACGTCGGTCGCTTCATGGAGGATCCCAGAGAGGATAACTGGGCTGCGGTGAAGCGGCTACTGCGCTACGTCAAGGGGACGGTGGATCAGGGGATCATCTTCCCTATGACCAGCGGGAGTAGGCTGTAGCTCACTATGTTCAGCGATGCAGACATGGTGGGGGACATCGACAGACGACGGAGCACCTCTGGCGTGCTCGTCTTCCTCGGGTCGGCTCCAATTTCATGGTTGTCGCTAAAACATAAGGTGGTGGCGCTATCTACGTGTGAGGCAGAGTACGTAGCGGTAGCCATAGCGACGTGCCAAGTTGTGTGGCTGTGCCGGCTGTTGGGTGAGCTGACCGGTGCGGAAGCTCACCCACCAGCACTGATGGTGGACAACCAGTCCGCCATCGCCCTCGCGAAGAATTCGGTTCTCCATGACCGGAGCAAACACATCGACGTGAAGTTCCACTTCCTCCGGGACTATGTCGATGGAGGGCAGATCATCAACGAGTTTGTCGAAACTGGTCGGCAACTTGTGGACGTCCTCACCAAGCTGCTCGGATGACTTCGACTCACGGAGCTGAAGGAGATGATCGGCATGGAGAGGGTACAAGGGATAGCAGTAGAATTAGGGGACGAATTGTTAGATAATTTATCGCTTCCTTGTGTGAACACACAGCAATGGAAGGCGACGTCGAAAAGGCTCCTTGCTGTGGTACTGTAGCCGCTGCAGGGGCAGGCGCCGAACGGCTCACCTGCCTCACTATAGCCATGGCAGGGACAGACGCAGAAGTCAGTCCTACTGTGTTATCTAGTCACTGTTGCAGCAGGGCAGCTGTACTAGAACTAGATGAGTAGAGTTGTATATATAGTTTGCCACTGCAACTCAACAAAGAGAGTTTAGATTTGTCATCTTCTACACAGGGCTCCGGCCAACGCGGGTACCTCTGTTGTGTGTGTATGCTCTGTCCTCCGTTCTTTAACCTCTAGCCATAGAGTGTGGCCGAACAACGTTTGTCGTGGTCGACCGTGCTCGGCAACACTGGTGAGTGGCCGACTTACCTGAGCCGGTGATCCTGTGAGCTAACATGTTTGTTTGTGCTGATGACTTACTACTGTGTGCAAGTGAGCAGTGACGATAGTGAGGCGTGTAAAGTGAACCAGTTGTGTGCGTACCACAAATCAAAAGTGTGCGTTTTTTTGCTGTTAATGGATGTTAGGTTTGAGGAAACCCGTTATGGGTGTGGACAGATTTCTCAATGTTTTATCTGTCAGTTTTTTTTGTGTGTGAACTGTCATATGTTGATTGGACCAAAATCTGACAGATTTTGACAACAAAAAACTGTCAGCAGATAGCTAGATATAGTCCCTTATATTATTATATATATTATTATTTATTTATTTTCTTAAATATATATAATAATGGCGCTTGGTTGCTACATTGGGTCAGGCATTTTGTCTACTTATCTCTTCGTTGCTTGCACCTTGCCTTTAAGATTACACGTGGCCCACCCCTTTTTCTGGGGTCATGTGCTTTTCGGTCTCCCTGTTTGTACATAGTCGGGGTTGGTGATCATAGTCTATTCCCATTCCTGTTTGTCATTTGCACTTGCTATTTTGTCTTGCTTGTGTCTTCGCTTCCTCGCTCCAGTGAGCTGGATCTTGCCCACGGTTTTTGTGGTCTTGCTTGAAGGTAAATGTTTTACCTGGTTTTGCTGACTTTCACTTTCACTTGCTTTTTCTTTTTGTGTTCTTTCTTGAGATGTTTTTATCGTTTTCATAGGCTTTCTGTGGTACTCTCAAATGTCTAAGTCATTTATTTAATTAGATTGGATGGTTATAATTATCTATTATTTTCTAAGAGGTAATATGTGGAATATATAAACAACTGTACCGGGAGGTTGCTAAGCGGCCGACAGGCAACATATGCTATCGTTCTGGTTGAGCTCCACGATTCACGGAAGCTCGTGTTCTTGGATGGATGCTCGTCCAAGGCCGAAGCTACCAAAGCTAAAATCCTATAGTCAATCTGACATGTAAATTTGTGAGGTTAACTATAAATCTAGAGCAATTCTTTGTACATGTGCTTCTTTGGGCTGTTTGAGGGTGTCTTGCGTTGCCTGTCCTAGCTGAGTAAGACTTGCCTTGCTAGCACGGACGAGCAACGCCCTCCCATAGGAGCAAGCTACAATTTTATTTGTATAAACTATGGGTTGGTTGGCTTCTAAAGTTTGTCAAGCCAAAGATTTTGCAACAAAAGTTATCAAAAGATAGATAAAAAATTTTACCACAGATTTGGCAACCTAATGAGAGATATTAGCAATTTTAGAGACAAACCAAATAGAGGCTCAAAACTTTAGCTTGCCTAAACCAAAATTTAGCTTGCCTAAACCAAAATCAAGCTCTACAAGGCAAGCTCGCCTAGGATTGAATTACTTGTTCACTCTCATTTCTCGTTGGACAAGGTAGTATAGTGGCTAGCATGCAAAAGATCCAAGCAACCTTTTACTATCACGAACAGAACTGCAGAAACTTGTGCATATGACCTGGTCAAGTTTTAGCATCAGGCTGTATCGGAAGCAACAAAAGAACGAGAAAGAAAATCAAGTTAACAGACAGGAATCCCAAGATAATGTTATCATGCCATCGTAGAGTACGACCAATTATTGGTGTCAACCATCGCCATAATTTAGTCTGATGAATAAATACTGCAGAAAAAGAGGTGAATCCAGCACGTGACAAATTTCTCTGATGCCTCTTGTTTCATAAACTAGGGAAAACACAGAACTATTGACCCTTCCTATTACACGGGCTATAATTTTGAAAGATATCACTGTTATAAATAAGTAGATATAAATTTAGACCACAACTATTTTAAGTTATCTATCTTTACTCTTTCATATAGCTCACATAAAATAATTTTCAAAGTAGATATTGTCTTATCTTTATTTTGATGTGATTTAATTAATATCTTTATTCATCTATGATGGACTTTACTTACCGATTACTTTATATAATTTTTCAATCCCATTTGCGGTTTTCCTTTTGCACCATGCCTCGATGTGTGATTGACATGTATATATATTGAGATCGACACTTAACTATGTGTTTGACATGGAAATCAACATTGGTAATTGTTGCGGAGTCATTGCTTGTGGAGCTTGGCGGTCGCTTTCTTGGTTGTCACTTGTGGAGCTGGGCGATTGCTCTCTCGTGCCCATATGCATGATCATACATGATTTTGATGATTTTGATGACAACACAAACTGTAGGACTAACACATGTGTTAAAATGTTAGGCATATGCGTATAGATTCTAGGGATATAAGGTCCAAGTCTGATCAAGATTCAAGCTTAAACACAATCAATACATGCATCGGATCACTTGATCCAAAGGTGACATATCATCAATGGCATGCAAAGACTTGGCAAAAAGATGATAGAGGCCATCAAATAATACACTGCAAACAAGATACACTAGGCGAATCAACCATTGCCACCGGGCGATAAGGTGTAGCATAGAAGCACCCCTGCGTAGTGTCTGATGAAGCTAACGTGGCAACAATTGTGTCCAATGATCGGATACTCTATCAAATGATACGGTGGACAACATGGGATAAGCCAACTGATCATGATGAGGGCCCAGTGTCAGTGACTAAAGATTCAACAATTGGCAAAGAAATATATACCCCATCGGATAATATAGTGCAACATTTAGAGAGCCATCAGATCATCCAGTGGCTAGATAGAGTGGATGGGCTATATATATGGGTTCCCACTCACTTGCCTAAAGTTGTTGGAGTGCCCTCCATATCTGTTAGAACATAGAGCAACTGAATCAACCCTCTCAAGTGCAAATTGATCACATCCAAGGCATAGGACACAACTTAGTGTTCATCTTGAGAGATAGGACTTAGAGGTTGAGAGCTGGAGTGTTGGGCTAAGTGCCTTTGCAATCTTGGTGAGCTAGAACATTTGAGGTCTTGGTGATCTTCTAACGAAACTAACCCTCTGAGTTTGGTGTGGACAGGTGACACAATGACTTGGTGTATGGTGGCGAGGAGGCCCCTTCCTTGGTAGAGAAGTTCTATAGTATTAATGGATGACATTTGGGTGAATGGAAGAGTCAGATGATAAATGGCGAGCCTTGACACTTGTCTTGGTTGGTGGTAGTCTTTATTGCTTGCCCAAAACCGTGACTGGAAAAGGGCTTTTATGACCGGGATCATATCCTCTATGGAGCTTCAACATAGAGTAGGGATACATTTTGACAACCGATACGTATGCATCTTTGTCTCTGAGAGTTTGTCCTCCCTTTTGACAACCTCTCGTGAGAGGCATGACAGGAGAGAAACTCGGCGAGATGCCGGAGCAAAAGCGCACCATGTTCTTATCCTCTGCCCCGCAAGCGACGGGGCCAGAGAAAGGGACGCATCACCCCCAGACCAGCCAAGAGATGCAGCGGATAATACCAAAACCACCCATCCCCAAAACCATCGGTCGCAATTACCAAAACCACCCTCTCGCCCGCTACATATACCGCCCCTTCTACCGACTACCACCCTCTCCCACCTCCCAGCTCCAGCAGCGTAGCTCAGACCTCAGAGAACGAACTAGGAAGGAAGCAGCACAAAGCCTTAGGCAGAGCAGAGCCCGAGTTTGTGACTGGATGGCGCACATGAGCCGGGTGTGGGCGGCTGCCACGGTGGCCGCCGTGCGTGCGCAGCGCGAGAGGGCGCCTTCCGCTGCGGCGGGGGCGGGGGCGGGGGCGCGGGCGCGGGACCGGCTGGCCGGTCTCGCCCCCCAGGCGGCCGCGCTGGCCGCGGCGCGGGCGGCCGCCGACGACGGCCGCAGGCAGGCCGGCGCCGACGAGTCGCTCCGCAGGGCCATGTACCTCAGCTGCTGGGGACCCAGCTGAGCTAGGGCGGCGTGGGATGAATGACCCATCGCCGCCGCCGGCTGCCGGTTTGCCCACCCTGCGCGCGGCGGATGGGCGGGCTTTGGGCCCGGGGGCCTCGCGGCCCATGTTGGGTGTTCCAGGGCCGGGCCTGGGGTTCGTTGCCACCATGTCATATCGTCATGAGCTCAGAACTCACTACTAGATGCGCTGAGGTTGAGATGTGGTTGCCTGATCGGGATTATATATGCAGTAACATCTTTGGAATTTGTGGGACAAAAGGCTGGGGGTGACTGAACTGTAATTCGTACATACTACTAGGCTTCATGTTGTAGATATTTCACGGAACTACTAATAATTGCTGAAAAATAAGAACTGGTTCCATCGTTTGGAACTTGGAATGGTACCATCGATCACACTACATCCTGTCGACCGACTGTCGAGCGATGAGTGTGTTCTACATATGGTGTTCGTTTCAGAGTTTTGGATGGGATCCATATATCTTGGTTCCGTTTGTTTCTTTTTCTTTTTTTTTTAAGAAGAAGAATGAACGCACATCTTGGTTCTGTTGATCAATGTTGGCACGATACGTCCATTCGCACATCACAAGAACTTCTAATCGAGCTTTGGAAACTTGTTCCTGGTTTACACGGCACATGTCTGTCTGCTGTATGGCCATTCTGATCGATACCATCGGTACATCAGCGATCGGTGAATGTGTTTGCAGATGCGCTCTACTTTTAAGCTAAGAGTTGGCACCCTGCGAAGGAACTTCGGTATTCATTCATACACGGCCCGGCACCCGGGTGGCTGCTGGAACCTGGCAGTTCGGCGAATGTCCATGTCAGCTTGAAGCTCTGAACAACAAAGCAAGTTCTATTCTGCTGAAGAGTGAAGACAATTCAGGCAAGGAAGCGGCACGCCGAGTCGCGGATACGGTCGCCGCCGGACACGGAGCACGCGCGATTACCCACCATGCCTCCACGACTCCACGGGATTCACGAGCACACCTGCATTATCGTCCCAGTCTCCCAGATGAACCCTGTGTGAGTTTTTGAGACAAAAGTCAGCCGCGTGGGCACTGGGCAGCACCAAGCGTCGGTGGCTCGGCGCGGGTACTGGTCTCTCCGGAGTCCAGTCGATCGCTCGTCTCCGCGCGCGCAGGCACACACTGGCAGTCTCGCCGCAGTCACCAGAGCCCGGGCACGAGCACAGCGGGCCGGGAGACGGCGAGAGGAGAGCAGACACGACAAGCAAACGGATCTGATTGACTCGCACCGGACAAACTGGGCTCCGAGCGTGACGGGGTCTGGCCCTGACTTTCACGTGGCTTCACGTGACGCTGGGACACCGCGGTCGCGCCCCAGGGACGGACGGGTGGCGCGACCGAGGCCTGGGCGAAAGGGCGACAGGACGGGCCACCACCCCACCCCCACAACACGCGTGCGCGGCGCTGTTAGTCAGCGGGGGCGAGTTTCGTGGCGTAACACTGCCATCTCATATCAAACGAAATGAAACTCAAATAAAATATTTATTTTTAACGAAGAGTTTCATTCTATGGTTTTCTAGTTATTTAATTTCATAACTTATAGAAAGTTGATAATCATACCATTAAGGTTTCATTAGATAAAACTCATTTCTTTTCTCTCTTCTCCATATATTCCAAATTATAAGTCGCTTTGACTTTTTAGATGCATTCATTTTACTATGCATCCAGATATAATAATATATCTAGTTACATAGCAAAACGAATAAATAAAAAAAGTCAAAGCGACTTATAATTTAGAATAAAAGAAATACACTGTCATGTCATAAAAAATATCTACGTAACAAACTATTTAATGCAAATAAAACTCACATCAAACTTCCACTAAGACTAGCTTTGGTCGCTCCAGCATTCCCGTCTCCGGAGAGCGGAGAGCCGTTTGATTGACGGTAGCAGGGATAGAAAAAAAATCAAAATTAGTGACACGCAAGAGAAAGTTGGATTATCGATGGCACATAAGATATTGTAATATATAAATTTCGATGACATTCAAAAGAAATTCTCATTTTTATGTCATTTTATGGTACCATGATTCTGATGTTGTGAGTTGGTGGCAGTGTTTCAGCCAGGAACCTTCCAAAATCATGTCCAACAGATAAAGTGCGGAAGCGGAACCCATTGTGAGTTGGTCATGATTTTGGGTTTAGAGTTTAGAGTTTAGAGTTGGTCATATATACTCCAAAGCCCAGCCTCCCGTGGGTAAGTCCGTCCGCACATATAAAGCGCGGAACCCACTGTGAGTTGGTCCAGAACAGGGTAGTAACTCCGTCCGCACACATAAATCCATTGGGCCTCTAAAATGAACAAGCCATCCAAGAGCCCATTAAGACAATCACCCATGCATCTCTGGCAAGCCACGGCCCAGATAGCACTCTCTTGCTCACTCCATTGGATTTTTTTTCAAATAATATTATTTTAATAAATAATTGCAAATCTAGTTGTCATTTTTTTAAAAATTGCAAAATCAATATCCTGTCGGCTATCTGACTACCGACAGTGAACCTATTGGCAATTAGCTGGCCCACTAGGCACCTATCGGCAGTCCAGAAACCGATTTGTGGAGTCGGCTTTTTGTTGGCCGACAGGCATGTCGGCAGGTGGCTTAGACGACTAGACTGTTTGCCAGCCAACGTGCAAGCAATCAAGTCACGTTTTGACCAGTTTATTTTTTTTGGTACTTTCTTGTTGATCCTAGAAAAGGTATTTAAATATCTTAAAAATATTGTAATTTTCAAAATCGATGCTAAAATCAAACATAACCCATTTTACTTTTTTTTGTGACAAAAGAAGAATTATATTAGATAATAGCTGGATACAACAATACGTTACAAGTACTTTGGATTACACTACAAATATTCAGAAATTAATTTTCATCTAAATTGTACCCACGCTGTGAGAAGCTCCAGATCTCAAAACCAAACATGTATAACGCTTTGCAGTATGGATGATCACATAGACAAACACTCGGCAAAAGACTCGAGAACATATGCCCAATGAACGACAACCAACTGTACGGTGTTACATCGTTAATCATCTACTAAAATATGTTATGAGCATCATACTTATGTGTTAATGCATGTGGTGAAGTTGGTAGATAATGCATTGCAACTAAAACGATCAACAAAAATGCGAAACGAAAGTTGCTCCACGATTCGTACAGTTAACAAATAGGGGTGTAAACTAATTTTTATTGAATAAAAATTACTATAGAACCTATATATAAGACTTAAATAAAGTTTAAAGTACAAACTTTGTAGATAACAATACAACTCTTTTTATAGAAAAATAATATTACTAGTTAGTATTTCTAATAGTATAGAAACGGAACTTGAAAATAAATCCAGCTCAAGACTTAGAAAAATTTCTAAGGTGAGCAGCAGCATGACAAAGTCATATTTGGTAAATTATTCTGTGAAATTGAGTTAAGAATGAGTGTCGTGTTGTAGCTCTTGTTGATAGCCTCAGGTGCCCTCTTTAGAGTAGTGAAGATGATTTGGTTCTAAATTGAATCGTTTAGTTTTTACGGACGCTTTAAAATTCGTACGCATACTAAGTCTCAGGCCGCCGAGCTCGGGCGCGTGGTCACCACACGTGGCCATTCTACGTCGCTGCGCGGCTGTGTCGTGCGTGCGCGTGCGTGGCCGCACACCGGTTGGCCGAGGCTACCCTTGGTCTGGTCGTGGCCTGGCCACGGCTTGGCTACTCTGGCCACACCGCTTAGGCCGCTGTGCCCCGCCGGCCCTCTCTACACCCGACCGCCACTGCCATCGCGGCAGCTGCTGCTGCTGCTGCTGCCCTCCATGTCGCGTGTCGCGACGCAATCGCGGTCGCTGTCGTCGTGTCAATCCCGCACTCACGTCTGCTCGCTGCATCGCGCTACCCCCTCCCTGGCCAGGTTGGGTGTCGTCCACACGTGGTCGTGCACGTCGTCGTCACGCCATTAATGACGCTGCGGCGCGCGGGCCATGACCGATTGCGAACACTCATGCTCGTCCCCTCGTACTTGGACGTAGGTCCCTCGGACACGACAACCGCACCCCGCCAAGGCATGCGCCAGTCGAACCACTAACCGCACCCGTCGCCCTTTTTCCCCGCTACGCCTCTGCTTTCCGCCGCCGTCGAGTCGTGGTCACGGTGTGCCACAGAGCGAGCACCTCTCATCAATTCTTCATGCCCGCGTCTCTACCTTTACATCCTCTTGCCGACAGCCCCCTCCCCGCCTTGATTGCTGTCAGGCCGAGCTCCAATTTTAGAGCTTTACTTCCGCCACCGTGCCATTAAGACCCTGCCCGCCTCATCGTGGACAGCTTTCACCTCGCCATATTGAGCCATACTGACTATGCCGCTAGCCCCGTCTAGAACGCTTCATCACCATGCGCACCTAAGCCGCACTCCTACCACCGTCTCTACGCCGCTGACGCGGCCGCGCCACAGCGACCCGTCGTCGAACTTGCCGCGTGCATGCGGCCAGTCTCGCTCGGGGCATCTCTGGCCGAGTGAAGGGTCAAGATGGCAGACTAGAGGGGGGTGAATAGTCTTTTTCTAAAATTAATCGCGTCGTCTAACCGATATAAATGTGGAATTAAAACAATCGGTCTAGCCAAGACTACACCCCTCTATATATGCTCACTAGCACCTTGCAAAGATACTAATTATGCAACTAAGGTGCCGGACTAGCTAGAGCTCTCCTAAACAATTATAGGAGCAAGGTCACACAAACCTATGCCACTAGTACTTTAAGCTACAAGGGAGCTCCTACACATGCTAGTAAGCAAAAGCACAAAGCCAACTAAGCTCACTAGCAAAGCTCAATAACAAGGCAATCAATGCCTAATTAGAGAGCGCAAATACTTACCTACACAAACTAAGCAATGTGACTAACAAGGTTACTAAAACCAAATTAGCCACGCAAGGGAGCTACTTCTATGCTACACAAGCAAAAAGTTAACTAGTAAGCTACACAAGCTAACTAATTACAAGAGCAACTACACAAGCTTAAGATAT